TTGCGCCCCCCCCCCCCCCTCCTCCACTCGCCCCCGGCGAAAATTGCATCGACGTTGTTGTTTTTTTCACGTAGTTTTACCTTCACTGGAATTTTTTATTCCTTGGAGAGTGTGGAGACGTGCTCTGGTTGTTGTTGGGTAGGGTAGCCATGGCAGTGTGTCTCGGGCTTTGAAACGCAAGGAAAAGAAGAGGAGGTGCTCAGTCGAAGCCATACCTTTTTTGATAGGAGACAACTAAAACATCTCTCTACAGCAAAGTTACGGGCGCCGGGCGATATTCTTGTCGTTTAGGCGGTACTCGTGCCAGGTGCCGTGCTTGATCTCCCCCCTCCAGCGCTATACAAGCTAGTTCACGCAAGAAACCTCAAATTTGTCCCCCCACTGACGACAAAGGCAATTGCTCACCGATCATCACATATTTTATACCTATGAGTGACCCCCACGTATAGCCTTAGGCGGTGACATAGCTAGGATTTCCGAGAACACCTTTCAACGGTGGTTACATGTACTGCAGGCACAATCAGCGGCCTTCACGCTGTTCGAGAATTAACAACTCAAAATACCAATGCAACACGAACCTTCTTCAGCCTGAGTTCAACCTCAAAAGACCTTCGAGCTCTAGGGAATCCAGCAAAAAACAGAAGTGAAAACGGCCAACGCTAGAGCGAGTTATGCTCAAAAAGGTCGGATTCCGGTGTTGTGTCCCTTTGGCGTCGTCAGATGGCCACTGTTTGTACGGAGCAACCGCCCAGAAAGCATCGAAACGGTTTCCGTCATATGCATCTGAGGAAAGCTTGGATCGTCCCCAAACTTGGAAACTCGACAGGTATCGATGCTTCGAATCCGAAAAAATATTCTTGAACACCATTCACGAAGTTTTCCCGCTTCTACCGGCTTATCGGGGTCTAACGGATAGGGCCCCTGGAAGCCGGTATATATGTATCAAGTAATAAAAAAATCGAATTCGTTCGGCTCCGGTGTAGGGTGTTGAAGGATTGTGCAAAGTTTCGTTGCCTAAGGGGGAAAACTGAGGTAGAGCGGTCGATTCAAGCGTAAAGTTGTGTCCAAAAAGCTCATTTTCGTCTACATCAAAGCAAGTAAGAGGTTCGCAGAGGAAAATTCAGGTTCTTGTTTCAAGAATCATATCCTTCGTTGGGGGGTTTGGAGATAGGTCACCAATTTTTGCACACTTGTCCGCAAGGCCGGTACCAAACTTTTCACGAGTGGGGTTTTTCGATTTTTTTTTTATTCGCCGAATATTCAGGGTCCAGCGCTACCTTTCTGTCCCAGGAACGTGCGGACCCCCGATTATTCGGCAAACAAAAAAAAAAAACGAAAAAACCCACTCGTGAAAAGTTTGGTACCGGCCTTTCGGACAAGCGTTCAAAAATTGGTGACCTATCTCCAAAAAAAACGAACGAAGGATGCGCGTGGAATAAATTTTGTTTTTCTTGCGTGAACCAGCTTGTACTGGTGTTTCTTCAACCCATCTCCTTCCGTGCTTGGAAATGGCAGGTTCGCCATGCTGTACGCCAAGACAGTGACGTTGGGGGGGACTCATTGGGACAAGACAAACGAAATTTTGTTTCGGAACCGCAGGATTGGGTGCAGGTATGTGCCTTCGTCCTGTCAAAAGTTTTGAACCTAACAAAAAAAGATGTAAATATAAGCACCTGGAAGGTTCACAACTGTTTGTTGGCGGGGTGATCGCTTGGTCCCATTCCACCCGGAGTATCACTGCCTGTACGTCGACCTTTGTGTGTTGTTCTTGCTGGCCGAATCATGTTATCGCTCTTTCTTCGTGGCTGATCGTGTGTGTCTCGCCCTTTTTTCCGTCTTGAAAGCATGAGCGGGCTGGCTCAGTTTGTCGCGGCGAGGGGTCTGGGGACGTTGCAAAAGTGGTGCGAAGACGGGTACGAGGCTGTCTCCCGAATAGACGAGCATCTTTCAAGTGAGACCTTACAGAACCGGTGGTGTAGACATCGCGCCGCGCATTTTGATTCATGTTTTCAGGTACCACACAGGATTTGCGCGAGACCGCATTGCCCCCCACTCGTGGGCCATACCTGGGATCTGCGTGTGTTTGTTTGCGTTCACGATGGTGCCAAACATTGAACTTGGTACATATATACAGGAAATCGGGGCTGCGCGAAGTTCGAAATTACCCGGATTGTGGTCCTTCGCTTTGGCAGAACTGTTGTGCTTGTCTAGTACTCTTTTTTTATGTTCTGACGTCCCCTTATCTGCCCAGAGCTCATTTATGTTTTGCCAGTACATTTTTATTTTATTTTTCTCCCATCGTTGGACTCTGTCGTCTGCCCCTCTGGCCCCTATCCTCCACTTCCACTAGCTAGACGACCCAACCGAGGTCAAATAGGAGGGGGGGGCTAGACCCCGTCCTGCGGTTCCTGCCTGAGTTTTTTTTATCGCGAGAAGGGTACAGCAATCCCTTCCCTTACGACTTACGAAGTCGATTATGGTTTACTACAGTACCAACGAGCTTTGCAGCGCGTCGCTTTCATCCTAGACCAGGATTAATTTAGTGAGAAAAAAACTCACTCTGCCGGGACTCGAACCCATGACCTGGCCCTTAGCAGGCTGCGAGGTTCCCCACTAGACCACAGGGGCGACATGTCTCGGACCGGTCCGTTACTGAGGCACACTTGGCTCGACTGTGACCTCGTGTTTTGACTTCAATCGTACCAGCTCGATTTGGCATCCCAACATCGATCAAGACCACAAGCATCAAGCCGAGTGGGACGGTGTCTCTTCTCGCTGGGGCGACCCCAGGTAGGTAGGGAGCGAGGTTGGGCACAGGGTAGCTTAGAGCGATAGATTAAACAGCGACATCCCTGCTTCAAGTGCGTACAAACTCGGAGTACGAACCAAAGTTGGAGTGTCACGCAGTCTTTGTCAATATTGTCGAACCAGGAGTACCTTGCGCGGTGGTGTCAAGCGGCGGCTCTTGTCTCGTTCGGTTCGGGCCGAAGAAGACTGCCTGCTGCGAAAAGGTTCAAATCTGAGACACCGTTGGGGTAGATGGTTTTGAAGGGTAATCTCGTTTTCTATGCTTTCTATGCTTCGTGTTCGGATGCCAACGTGCTTGTCGCTCAGCCGATGGGTGCTCGTGCTCGTATTGACGTGTGTTGGTGCCGTTCTATGTAGGCATGCACTACCCGGAGTCCAGGTTCTACATAAGGCGCGTGCGAATGGCTTCGGATGCGGATGTGCTGGGGCCATTACGAGAAGCGGGTTACAGGTACGCCGAATGTGTACGATTCTCTCCGATAGATGTGGGCCCAAGCCCGCCCCGACTGTTTTTCACGCAGCAACCGACGATGGCCTGCTCTGTCGCTTTGCATGATGTTACATTTGATCTGACCTCTCAGGCTAGAGCCCGCAGCTGAAAACCCTGAAGGCACGATGGTCGTGGAAGTCCCTGTGGACGCTGGGGAAGCTGTGCGCACCGCACAAGACCTAAGCATGTGGGAGCAGCTCAGCTTCGCTGCCTTCCTCCAACGGTACTGGGCCGACAATCAGGCAAGCTTTCTATGTTTCGGTGCCCTTACCTTGCGTATGGCCTTCTGGACCTCAACGAGATGTACTAATGCATGCGCCAGGCACCTGGATATTCACATCGCATGCTTCAACCCTGTGTATTCAGCGGTATACCCCTTTTGTTTTCGTCCAGGTGAGCTGCACGATTACCTTCGATCCTGACACAGAAGGCAAGCACCTGGCTCACGCGTTGGACTACTTTCAGTATCAGCTGAAAGGTGTGTCCTTTCTTCCCAGGACGGACTACGGCGCTTTCCCACAGGTCAGTCTGCGGTTTCCCACAGGTCAATCTGCGGCTCGCGTCCGTGGTAAACCGTAGCCGACCGAGCTCTCAGAGTCGGATACAGTAGTTTCTGGCTGTGTGTAATTTGCGCCAAGTGCAGACCCATCTTGACTGCTCGACCCCGACCGGCATTTCCCCTGGCCGTATGTTTGATATCTTCGCTTTCTTGGTTGCGAACATTTTTGCAGATGCCGTATGAGGCGATCTCGGAGGACGAGTACAAGAGCCAGATCTCCAAGTTGCGACCTTTAGATTTTTCGCGACGACGTGGGCAAACTCGAGGAGAGGGCGATGGTGCACGGGTGGAGGAAGTCCCGGACAGATATTGCGAATCAGACTCTTGTACAAACCGGGCCGGTTTCAGAGTTTGAGTTCAACACGTGTTGTTGTATTATGATTGCATACTAGATGCACGGGTACCATGTGCATGCACACGTGTAGCCCGCGTGCTGCAGCTGGACTACAAGATTAGCGGAGGGCGCAATAGCATGCGCGGCTGGCCTCTCGCGTAATGTGATTCTTCGGGTTGTTTTTTTGTCGTGTGCGGGATCCGTGTGTCCTTGCTTGCTTGTGGATGGTTGGATGTGGTCACGACTGCTTGCACGCTGTGTTCAAAATCTCGGTGTTGATGCCAATCGTCCCCTTCGTTTGGCCGGGTATATATATGTAACTACTTTGGTAGATGATGGGAAAACGCAGTGTACAACGCGAAATGGCATGCCAACGCTTTGTGGATTTTCCCTTGAGTCGGCGTGGTTTTGTCTTGAGGTATGTCTTTGACTGATTCAAATCCCAAAGGTCGCTCTACTCTTGTACACTGTTTCAAGGAAGCATGTTGCTGTTCAACGAAGTCAACCAGTACCTCAGGTCTCAACCCTCCAGGTGTTGGCTTGGGTCGTCAGAATGAAGGTCCGACTACTATAATACGTGCTGTGGTATTTGACTCGACCCCGCTCAATTTGGCACACTAGTCCGGAGTCTGCAAGCCCTCTGCGAACATTGGCAGGCCCCATGCTTTCGACCTCTTTGTCGGACGATCTTTCGCAGCGCCGCTAAGTTCTTCTGTTCCCACGCTTGCCGCCGCTGCCGAAGTTTCGCGCATCTAATCACCGCTCGCTATGTATTATGCCAAGGCTCTGCTCCTACCAATACTCGAGTTCCACACTACGATTGGGAAGTGTGTGACAACGTGTCATATTTCTTGTCCTCAGGCGGGAGTTTCCCCTCACGTCAATGCTGGCGACGAGAAGCTAAATAACCACTGACGCGACTGCCTCCGGCCTGGATGCGAAAAGACGGTCATGCAGAGGATATGCGGGATGTTGCGCACGTTGTTCTTGATCCCAATTTTGTAGAGGTCAAGTCTTGTTTCGGCTTACCATCTCTCCCACCGACATGTTGTACTTCCGAATAACACAACTTTATGCCCGGGTGAGCTGTACTCTCACTCCACGCGTGCTACAGGTTTTCAAACACGAAAGTTTATCCGGAAGGTCCAGACTCCATGGGAAACAAGGACAGAGAAAGGATCCAGATAAGGTTGCTACCCCGGACTTTTGGCGTTTTGCACGCTAGCTCTCCCCATACCATTAACAGTGCGCAGAAACAACTCAATCACAACCGTAGATCCATTGATGTTCCATTCTTTCATCTATTGCCATTGACCCGCTCTTTAGGTAGGTGGCCCCCCAGCCCTTCGTAGGAGGGAAAATTGGGTAGTGTACTTCCAGACGGCAGAAAGTGGTAACAAGGAAGCATTGAGCTGCGTTCAGCCTGATGTTCCCGCTTTGTATTGAAAGTCACCTGAGCGTCAACAACGAAAGATGATGTTGGTGATGGCCGTTGTGACCTCTCACGGGGTGATGTCTCAGTAATTACTCTGGCGCCAGGTGCTCCATTCTTGAATGTGTCGCTCTGGGTCAGCCTGGTAACAACATGGAACATGCGGAAGTTTTGTCGCTGACCCTACAAATTTTGCGCAAGCTCTACAGTCTAGGAGCTACCCTTTTACCTCTTTGGTGTTTTCCTTTTATGCCGGCGTCCCGCAAAGATTAAGTACAGCGATTGGACACACCCCATAAAGTCCTGTTGCAACAAGCGTCATTGGACCTCCAGTAAAGACAACACATTACGTGGAGGGTCACATGTTTGATGTTGTTAGGCTATGCTATTGCAGATCCGAACTCAAGATACGTCCGAAATAACACCTGCGCAGCCAACAATGGCGATACCTGTCATGCACAAGAGGAGCCAGATGCCTGTGCCTTTCTCTGAAAATATCCCATCGAGACCGCATTTTTCGCAGCAGAAAGTTCGCCTTGGCAATCTTCCTGGAAATCAGAAACAGATTCGTTTCCATCTCAAGTCGCTCGTCCTCCGACATCCATATAGCCTCCACGTCACCCTTTCGAACGAAAAGCGTGTGCAGAAAGGAGGCAGGCGTCGAGAAGGGCATATTTATCAAAGAAGTAGACAAAACAAGCACTGTCAACGTGAAATCGATGGCCAGGTCCTCATCCATAGACTATAGAATTCTTCTAGAGGAAAATAAAACGTTGGGTACGGGTACCGAGTGCCACATCAGGAAATTTACATAGCTCACAGTTCTGCCTTTGTCGCCTTTTCTTATATGCCGGAGCCTCGTCTCCATGCCATGGAGTTTTTCTTTGCGTATCCGTATCCTCACGTTGAGCCGCTGCCTTTCCCTGGGGTTTAACAAGAGTCATGGTGTCGCTGAGCAACATCGTGAGAATGGTCTTCCACATTTTTGTCTAAAAATGCTTCCTTGGTATTCGGCCTCATATTTAGTGAATGGTTTGTTTTTTTTTGCGGTTTTGTGGCCTTCAACCACCGCAATTCGTCCCTCGACAGCTTGGTGAACCGTTGCATTGGGTTCACACGTATGCACGGCACGGGTTCTGTTTGAAACAACAGCTAGCATAACAACAGTTCAAGCTGACACGAGCAATGCACACTGACAGAAGCTCTTGTCGTTTTCGGCTGGCAGTCTCGCTAAAGCTCTTCCGGAGACGCTCAGAGCGCGTGAGAGAGAGAGAGCGCGAGAGAGAAAGGTAACTAATCACCAACGATGACTCCTGCTGACGAAGCGAAATATGTATTAGTTCCCCGTACAACGCCTTCCAAGGAAGCAAGCGAATTTGGATCTCGTCCACGTTTGCTCCTACTTAAAATAAAACCGCGACGTTCCGTCGACCGACCGAACTGACGCGAAACTACAAACAGGGAGCGGAGCTACGAACAAGGGATCCTCGTTCTCCATTCTTCGTTTCGGTCCTCGTTCCTGCTTTCCTCTACGAACTTCCCGTATGATAGTGCTTCAAACCTTTTAACCCAATCGTCTGGAGACAACACCACCTCATGGTCCGCCTTCGTCTGCTTTGCTGTGCCTGGTTCGACCTGGAAAGAAATTCACGATATGAGGCATCCCGCAGCTTGTGCAGTCAGACGATTTTGTCGTTGGCCAAGAGCTGTCGAGTCGGTGCATGCCCGAGTCACGCGCAAACAAAGGGAACGTGAACAAGAACCTCTACGCCGCAATCTTTATATTGCCACTGCTATGCTTCTCTCTTGTATCGAATAGGTTTCCGCACATGGACTGCCTGCCGCATCCCCAGGGAAGAGGCGCACATGTGCGCGTTGTTATCAGATATGTACAGCTTCGACGAATCGGCTGCTTGTTTATACTCCAGCCCTCCTTCGATGTGTTGAAAGAGGACAGTCTCACCTTCTTGCTTCGGACGAGCGTGGCGAGCTGGTCAGAGAGGCTCGTAATGCGCATATCCATGATGGAGTTTAGGCGCTCCAGTTCTGGTCGACCAAGCCCGGACACGTCGTCTTGCGCCGCGGATTTCCACCTATCGTGCCATGCGTGGCAAATGGACGACGTCAAGGAAATAAAAGATGCATCGGCCTGTGAAAGAAGGTGGGCCAGTTGGGGTAGGCTCATGGCATTGACATTCCCTCGTCACGTTCGTAGCATGGCGCCAACCCGTGCTCACCTCTTCGCGTGTTTCGCTGCCGCCACAATCGCGGTCAGGGAAGGAGTCCCAGCTTCAGCCGGCGGTTGAAGAGCCAACCCTGTCCTTGCAACGATGTTCATCGCGTTCTTGTATCGAACCGCTTCTGCCTGGCGTTGAAGGGCCTTCATTTCGTCGTCATGTGTCACCTGGCGTTCAAGGGCCGGAGATGGACTTTGATTATTGGTTTGAGACGCATTAGGCTCCCTTTCGACACAACACTTGTCAACACCGACACGACTCGGTGTTCTGCTTTGGTCTCACGGCAAAAGCGAAAAATCTAAAACCACGTGGGAGACTTCTCGGAAGTAGTTTATTATGCACTCTGCAAGAAGAAAAAATGTCCCGTGAAAGCAATGGTTGAACACACGGTCAAACTTATCCCACTGTGCCTAAGATCTGCACGGTATGCCTGAGCTCATATCCAACGGCAAACACACCACGGAGAGTGGCGATTGCCCCCCAAGCGCAGCGAGTAGGACATTCAAAACAAACTGTAAGCTAGCGAGCGATGGCACAGGGGTGCGATTGCTCTCTATCATTAACTCTTGTCCTTTCTACGCACCCCCGCCCGATATTGTCGAACTGCTGTGCCAAAACTCCGATCTCTGTGCGGAAATCGGATTCAATCACTACGTTCTGGTGCCGATGCACACTACTCCTGTGCGATACTTCCGGACTAAGCGATAATGAACAAAATCACAAGATGCAAATGGATGTTCTTGCTGGTCTCGGGACTAATTACAATGCAAAACCGCTTGATCGCTTGGAACGCTGGGGGGTGCAGCTAGTGGGGACCGGCGGGACAGAATGCTAGTTTAATGGCGACAGTGTACAGGAATATCCAAAAACGCAGTAGCCCACAAATATCCTTTTGTCTTCGAGCTTGTTCTTGGCTTATATGTTCCGTTTTGCCGTTTCACGTCCGTAACTACACTTAGCGGTTTTCGGTATCTATCATCTATTCTGCATCAGTAGGTTGTGGGGTGTGGTGGTGTGTTCCTTCATGTCCTTCGTTGCGGATACTGTTCATTCCCGATTCAAGGAACCAAGTATCTTTGCTGGGTGTGCATCGGCACAATGCCATACACGCAGCTTTCATGCATTGTGAACCCGGCGAAACATGTCGAATTCTCTAGCATTGCGAAATATTTTAGCATTTCGATAAAGTCGCTACAGCTTAAGAAGTGCCCCGGGACCCGTGGTAGCACGCAGCCTCAAACGCCACACATGGGGTTGGTTTCCCCGGAGTTATTGGAGTGATCGCACAGTTAACGCACAAGGGGTGTGATAACTCCAAACGGTGTCATCGCTCGCAATTGTAATGGATCAACTAGTGTGTATGAGCATTGTATGTGCGTTTCATGAACGCTTTATGCATATGAGCGCTTATTGCATATTTTGAACTTTCGTTAGATGTGGATATTTGGCGTCGTTGAGGGATATTGAAGTAGCTGAAGGAGGATCAAAATCCCAGCCCCGCTTGCTCACTCTCCGAGTGGGCGCTGAGCGGACCTGGTCTAAGAAGGCTAAAACAAGAGATTAAACAATAACTGTGAGTACCTGAAGCCAGGAGCAATGGATTTGCTGCCTCTCCTTTTTATTTTCTCTGTTCCTCCATAACACAATCGCACGGTACATCCATTTGATAAATCATGCGATAAGGACGGACAACCGATCAATTCCAGATGAAGACATAAAAACTGATCGCTTCCAGCGGGCGATCGCCTTGTTCTTCGTCCTTGTGCGCATCGCCACAACATACTCGATCAAGACGATCAGACGGTTTCTTCCGGTGAAAGCGTACACTATACTACATCAACTGCTTTTCTGTGATCAATGCGGGCCGGCGAAGTCATCGCTCTGAGCAGTGTTGCATGGTTCGCGTCATCACACGTTTCCAGCGTACAATCCAAGCGAAGTTGCGACGCAAAGGCATACCTCTAAACCAGACAGCGGTACAGTTATCAGTCGTATTCCGCCGCTGAGAGGTTGTTCGATCTCTCCGTTGACGCTGACGGGGAGGTCGCAAAGGTTGCGTTCCGGTCTGTCGATGGCCCCTAGCAGACTCTCCCGAAGGGTCTCTAACGCCTGGTCGGACAGGCAAGCGAAGGCACCGTCGTGACAAGTACCGCGCCGCGTGATCATAGCCCTTGGTTAAGGGAAGCACGTGAAACTAAAGAGAGGCCGTAAGGTGACTGCATTTCGAGCAGCTCGGGGCGTTCGAGCGATACAACCGGCACTGATTGGTGTTTACGCTCATTCAACGAAAGATATCCGAGAGAGCACGTCGTTTCCACTGCTGGATCACCCGGCAAGCTCAAGCACACCAAATCATCCCCAGCACGAAGAGAGGGTATTGTAGCACGTGCCGCGTGAAACAAAATCGGCCGCAAACCTAGTGAAAAGTACCTCAAGGGCTTGGTTCTTGGGTCGGCTGCTAAACATCGCAACGAACCTGGGCGTCCACAGCGAGTTCGAAGGCTTCCAACTCGACCTCTTCGTCACCGCGCGGTCTTTCCATCCTAGCCTGTTGGTCGCGTTGGGCACAAACGATTTAACCGTCATTCCAAAAGCAACATTGGCGGAACACACAGATGTCCGTAACCATATACACTAGACTACAGGTTTTCGTGATAGTAGATGAGGGGCACCTGGACGTGCTCCGTCTTGATTTCCCAGCTTCGGCAGTCACCCCCACTGGTTCTTTCCAACACGGTGTGGAAAGAAGATTTTTTTAATCCCCGGGTTAGTATTTGTTGATGATGCCGTTGCTTGTCTGTAACAACGACCTCTGCACTGCTGTAGACCGGCGGGAAGCCAACCGTGGGCAACAATAAGAGCGCCGACACGGGGAGTTGTGATCAACCAAAGTACGGCTTGCCTGCATCGTGCGCCAGGCGCTTGCAACATACTGATCGGGATCACAAGGCATGGCGCTGGCTATCTTGGCAAAGATTTCGAGTAGATTTCCTCTCGCATCGAGCCGATGGCGGTCTTGCTTCATAGGATCCGGTGTACGCCGGTCCGTAGGACTTGCGAGCGCTTGCTCACTGCTGTGATTCGAGCCAACCATCGCGGCATCCGGAACGCCGCTCTGCATGGGAGAACGCGGGCATGTCACTATACGTGAAACACGTTTTGAACGGATCCCTAACAATGCGCGAAGATGTCTTAGCCCTCATTGACTGCCGCATGAAGGATGAAGAAAACGAAGCTTGTACAACCTTCTGGAACGAACGAACGATACATCAAAGATTATGCAGGCATTCTGCCATGTAGTGTCCTTGCGTCGCGTCCAACACCGCTTCCAGCTAGAGATTATCCTCATGGACGTCAAACTTTCCACGTGCTACAGCTCTTTGACGAGGTGTTCAAGAGTCACTAGGTTGATCTAGAGCCAAACCTGGGCGCGTGCTTCCTTGCCGGATGGAGTGCTAAATTCCGCTGACATGTCTTCTTGAAAACTCGTTGTCGTAGCGTTCGGTTTGAAAATATTGTCGAGGTGTTCGCGCCGTCTTTGGAGTCCGAAACAATGCGGGTCAGACGAGGGGCGGGACTATATTACAAAAAATGCGGTGTTTAGGAAATCTAGTTTCGTCTGGTGCAGTAACGAAGGCATTATCTCACCCTCTCTCCCGCACGGCGGTTTTTGGCATTAAATAAGAACTCTCACCCGGTGATGATCGCTCCGAGAAGGTGCGTCATGATGTCGAGTTGGCTATTCCCTGGACCGTGCTCGGCCTCCTCGGGCGGCATTTCAGCTATGAAGTCTTCGGCAGCGCTCAGAACCTCCTCTCTCCGTTGACTTTGTTGGTGCTCAGCGTACGCTTTCACTTGCACCCGAAGCTCGGCCTGGAGTGCTGCGCCGCGTTGCGCGAGATCAAGGGAGAGCTCGTCACGACTCTTGCTGAGGACCTCCGAAATTCTCACAAGCGCGGCCAGCTTGGTCACGGCCAACGCCGCTCGTTGACTTGCTTCGCTCAACACCCCTCCGGACGACAAGCCCAGGTTTGCGATTTCACCCTGGAGGGATTGCGGAACCTTATCGGGACTGGACTTGGCTCGACGAATGACATCAAGACCCAGAGCGGAGAATAGCTTCAGAGCAAAGCTTGGGTGGAGTTGGCTTTCTCCCAACATCACCCCAACCAGAGTGTTGAGGGCCTCCGTGCGCTCTTCAAAACTGCCGCGTCCAGTGCCCGCAGACTCGCTCCAGATGGCGCGTAGCAGTACGTTAAACCTCGCCAAGCGAGAGTGGCCCCGTTCTATCAAGCTTACTAGCTCCCCCCGTGATTCCGTCGACCTCGGAAAAACACCGCCAAGAAGGAGAGGTCCGTCGCCGCCACGGAAGCCATGGAATAAAGCGTGGATACCTTGCCGGGTCTCGTGAAGGCTTTCTAAGTCGATGGGTTTTTTAGGTTCGGCCAAAAGGTGCAAAGCTTCTTCCCATTCGTTCAAATCGCAGAGACCGAGCTCCACGGCAAGACGAACAAGGTACATCCACCTCACTCGACTTGCGATGCCAACCAGCTTGCCTTCCAAGGGCGGAGCCTGTCCCTGTGGAACGAATCATCAGCAAAGATATGCAGTTGGGGAACAGTCAACTTTCAAATACAAACAATGCCACGCCAATATGTGGAAAACAGCAGCTGGTGTCGGTGGGTGCCTGCCCACTAGCCGCACGTCCGACGTGAAGATATGCCAGTACTGGATTCCCTATTGTGTCACACGCTTGCTTCGTTTCATGTGACATGAGGCATCTTCCTCACCTCCCAACGGAGCGTGTCCATCATTCTCCGAGACAAATCAGATGACGCCGACGTCAAACCAGCTGCGACAACGGCGGCTGCCAGCTCCAGCGCAGCAGTAGTGCCCTGCTCGTTTCCTGCGTCGCTAGAACCGTTGTCGCGTAGCTGCCAGCACGCGGCCGTTAAGAGGGATGCTTGACGAAGAGGATCGTCATCCTCGCCAACGTCGGCGGATTCACTGCGCTGCAGGTCTTCCACAAGCACACAGTGCTGTGCTCGAAGCATCTCAAGACGGTACCATGCCTGAGAATCGACTTGGTTTCCTTCGTCTGAGCTCCCTCCCCCTCGCTTTTCGTCAGCCACGAAATTGGTCCGAGGCTTGGTTTGAGCACTCTGTGCGCTACGCACGTTCCGGGAGGCGGATTGACTGATTTGGCGTTCGGTCTGGGCCAGCTTTGTGCTCGCACTCTTGATCTTCGCTTTGAGACTTTCGATCTTCCAAAGAGGAAATTTAACAACAGGGAATCGGCGGGCAATCACATCAGGGACACTAGAAAAAAGCGCAAGCAAGAACAAGTCACACCCGGGGAGGAAAAAGAAAAAAATAAGCCATGCATACGGGTATGGGTGCTCGAACGAAGGAACGGCAAGGAGTCTCAGACTTCGCTAGAGTCGCACACAAAATGCGGCCTGAGCCGGTATCCTTGAAGAGTTGAGTGACTACGTTTGGCAATTTCACACAGTCGTACACTCTGCACGGGGGGTTAATTCACAGAGGCAAGAGGTATCAGTCGGGGTTGCTCGCCTCGGTCTGGTGAAGGCGTAGCAGTGAGTTTCTTGTCTCCTCAGGTGTTTGTGAATTGTTGAACGCGGATTCCGCTTTCTTTGTTTCCTCTCGGAGGCGCTTGTTTTCCTCCAGCAAACCTTCCAAACAAAGCCGCGGCGAAGGTCGCTCGTGAGTAGGTTTCAAAACATTTAGGGATAGGCTTGTACTCTGCGTTGTGTGTGTGGTACATAGAACAACGATCGATGACGCAAAAAGAACCCGTAACATCACTTGCTACCTTTACCTTCATCATGTTCAAGGACTTGCTCACCTGCCCGCCTCGCTATTGCTTGTGCCTGCTCCTGATTTTTCCTTCGCGTCTCTTCTCTGAATAGGGCCTGCATGGAGTTTCAAGTCATTTCGCACTCACACAAGTCGGCACATGTTCACCTCCGCTGAAGCAGCATCAAAAATACCTTCGGTCGACCAATACGCGGCAGATCCTTCTTTCGTGGCGTAGACGGTACGTTTTTCATGCACTAGGGATGACAGCAAGGCCTTGTGAATGGAACATACAATACAGGTAAAAAAATGGCGGACCTCCCCCCCCCCTCCATCGAACGACGTCACTTGTATCGTGAACCCACCTGTAACTGTTCCCTCCCTTCGCTCTGTTCTGGGGAGGCAGCAGCGTTCTTCCCCCCTCCCTCTGCGGCTGATTCCAGGCGCGCTATATTTTGCAGGCTGTCGTCAAGTGAGCCAGCCTGGGTTTTTCACAACCGTGCAACAGACCTTATACTGAGGTTTGATTGTCTGTATGAAGTGTCTCCAAGATCTCTTCGTAGGCGCTGCCGCACAGCGCGAATCAAACGTCCCAGGCTGGATTGATTACCTCGATCGCGCAACTACGCACCCACGACGCAAAAGGAAACACGCGAGGACTGGTTACAAGTGGCAAGGGACTTGAACGTGAACTCCGTGTGACCCACACAAAAGCAGATTTGCATCTTGAGAGCAGCTGTGATCAGAGGTCGACGGCTGAAATCGCAAACTTGCCTCTTCCTGCGTCCGTGCCAATTCCACAGATATCTGCTCCAGGCGGGCTCGTTGCTGCTCTACGATGTGTTGAAGATGCTCTGCCTTGCGAGTGTACATTCCCTTGGCATTTGTGAACTCCTCGCTCTCTGCTCGACAAGGTTGGCAGGAAGCATCCTGGTCTGTGATGTCACCGATGTCTTCATGGTGTTTCCATATAGAAGTATGAAATTACCGAACAGAGAACTTGCTCGCTCAAACAAGAGGCTTGCTTTCGCTGTATTCACTTCATCGTGTCTTCAGGGGTGAGAGAAAAGTAGCCTTGAGATCTCACCTTTTGAAAGTCCAACCACGTGGTGATCGGTCTCTGCAAGCTCAGCTTTCAGCACAGCTATTCGTTCCTCCGTAGCGGAAATGATGTCGCGCGTTCGTTTTCGCGCGTGTAGGCGCGAGCGGATCACGCCATCTTGTACAGCTAGGAGGGCCTGGTGTTCAAGGTGCGCACGAGCACCACGCGTTATCTCCGATCTTGATCTGTTTATAGCAACAGCGGTCGTGTGTGCCCCCGCAAGGTTTCTCGAGCCCATATCGGCAGTCTACCTTGAGGCTGCGCAACGTGTCTATCGAAACATCACTCGAAACTGGATGGAGAAACGCTGGCAAGAGGCACGAAAGACATCAGTGCGCACACCTTGGCCCATTCTTTGCTCTTGACTCCGATCTCCCGCCGCATGTGCATAATGTTCTCGGCGATCCGTTCCGTCCTACTTAAAAGCACCGAGTCCACCTCTTCATGATTGATTTGCATGGCGCGGATGCTCCTGAGCGATAGTTGTTCCGCTCGTGTAAGTTTCTGTGTTGTTCAGGTATGGGAAACGTGAACGGCGGCGGCTATCTGGACACCCTTGCTAACACCTCGGGGTATGAGCCTGCTGGGACAGGTCATCTATAGCTCGAAGTGCCGATGGAAGCTGTGTGGGGCAATTGTTTTCGGTCTGTTCGCTGCAGCATCGAATGACGATGTTGCGGGACTCTCCCACTGTGAAATTCTTGGCACTCACTTCATCTTCTGACCACAACCTTTCTCGTTTTGCAAGGCACCAGAAGGCGACTGCACGGAGGTCGATCACTCCGGCATCTGACGCTAGGCCGCTGTCCAACTGGCGTAAGGTTTTCTGCGATATCAGCCATTGGAAGAGAAAAAACAAAAACGTTAGTGTTGAAACGTTTTCCTGTTCTCTGGAGTACGGACGGTGGCGCACGCTCACTTGTTGTGTGCAAGAAAACTTCGTGGTGGATCTTTGGGAAAAGGGCTGCTTGTAGCAAGTGCACGGGATCTGCGCGTCGAGATGCACAAGAGGTGGCTCTGCTCTGAAACGTGTTCGTACACCCAGGTTCTGCTTAACTGCTACAAGTGGTCAGCGGGAAATGTAGAAGGCATACGGATATCAGTTCTGAGACAAGCTGCCATGCCCTCACAGCCAATTCTTCCCACTCTGTAGCTTCCTCCTTTGTGTTGAACTGCACTGCGTTGTCCGCCTCTCCCGAGAAGTAGATGTCCTGAGTTGAAGACCTTCTCCCAGAGTAGCTTGCCGCGTTGCCGGGCCTGCCACCATGTTGAAAGACCTTAACTTAATAGGCAATGTTGTTGTCTTTTGTGTTTTAAGGAAGTAAAATGTCTTATGAAGTAGCTTTGTTGTTTCCTTCGTGGTTCAACAAAACATAGTTTAATCGTCGATTTTGAAGCAGCCAACACCGGATGACACGCGCCATTTCGCAAAACGAAGCATACTTTAGCACATCGCCACGCACATCACAACGTAAACTAAAAGTACTTCTCAGGCCAATAAACAACAGCGACACGAGAAGAGGACCCTGCTGCTCTTCAAGCCTGCCCGCTGTTCAAAGGCTGAAAGATACTGAACGAGCGAAAACACTACAAATCAAACCCTGACTGGGGGAACTATTGTAGCAGCTAAAAATGTTATCAATTCCATCACCCACCTGGATGGCGTGTCCAGCGATGCGAGGAGGCGATCCAGTTTGTCGGTGCTATCCACGACACTGGCGAAAAACCTGAAGTGCCGAAACAAGAAGAAACAGGAGGAGAGTACGACCGACCCACACAGCACCTCACCCGGTGAAAAGGCAAACCTCCGTTCGCATGCGACGCCTCATATGCCATGTTTGTTGCAGAAAAAAAGCTCCTACGGAACTTGCAGGAATAATCTCGATTCAGTTGATCAGTGGCATGGCCTCTCTCTTCACATTGACGATTTATGGATACAGGAAAGGACTGTTGAGGCATGGAGTACTTGAAATCAGCTCCGGAGCGCGAAGCGCGACTTTTTCCCTTCATCCCCAAGAGGAGAAAAGGCGCTATATATCGGGCTCTTCCAACCAACGCCACGAGGGGCCCTTCTACAATTTCCTCCTAATAATGGACCGTTCGAAAATAATCGCCGTTTGCCAGAATGAGGTATACAGTAGAGCACCAACTTACGATCTGCTGGCTTGTGAGGAGGAAGAAATTTAGCGCACTCTTCGTCACATTGGTTTCGTCGCGCTTCGACGACAGATGATGGTGCTTGATAGGTAGGTGTCCCCAAAATCATAGGATATTTTTACCCCTTTCCCGGGGGAGTTGTAGAGAGTTATTGGAGGAACAAATCGAAGATCTCCCACACAAACACACGTAGTTGCTTGCTTCAAAGCAGGAGAAACAGGGGAAGCACTCAGCTAAACACGCAACACCGCTGGGAGGGGCAAGACAGCACTGGCGAGGGGAGGGAACCATACACCTAATTCGTGGCGGATGTCGTTGCCATTGCTGTTGCTTCGGTGCATGTGGAAGGATCGGTAAACCAAAGCTGCGCCTGGGGCAATAAAATACAAACCGGTCCCACCAGACGCGCCTATTTTTTTCAGGCTGTGCCAGACTCTGGCGCTCGGAATTTCTGAGCGTCCTAGAGCCCCCTGGTCGGTCTTACATCGGAGCAAGCAAGCTTTGAAAATTGGCCAAGGGTGTGGTATCTCGTGTCACCAACGGTACTATATGCACACTAATCCCACCAGCCGTTTGTTTTGCGGGAGCCTTTTTGTTAGCATGTTTTTGTTTTTGTTAATGACTCGGATTCAAATTCAAAACGATCGACTGCACCCCCGCCACCGCAAAAAAGCATCGCAGATACATGGACTACTGCAAGGTATTGAGTCGGCTACCCCCCGGCTCATTACCCCACCCTGTCTAGTACGAACTTCCGACATTGTACCGCCCTTGTCACCTTTAGCACGCTGTCCTTTCTGAGTATCGTGCCACATTTTCATCTTGCCTTGAATCTCTACAGGCATCGTGCTGTGCATTCAGAAGAAAAAAAAGTAACTCGGTACGAAGCGAGATCTCCATCCTACCCGAAAGGGTTGCTCTTTGCGATATAGTAGTCGTCGCAGCCTGTATAGCACAAAAAAGGCACACAACCTCCTAACCTCCCAGCTGCTATGTAGATGTTCACCTCTGATATGCCGCACGGTTGTCTTGCGTCTCTTCGTCTTCTTTTGTGGCCAAGCTCTTCAGTACGTGTACGCATGAGTGGGGTGTGCCAACCCCGGGGAAGGAGAAGCAGGAGAGTAGCACACGCGCGGGGAGGTACCACAAAGGGTGGCGGTGCCGAAAATGGTGGTGTGGGAACCGCCTTCTCCTCGTCGAGAGCTTCCCGATAACGTATCGCTGGGTTTACGCACCCTCTTCGTGGAGTATTTATCTTTAATAATCGGTACAGGCTCTACACACACCGAAGCAACAGCAGCAACAAAGGTATCGGCCACGAGCTGAGTCCATGGCCGCATAGTTCAGGCCAAGATGATCAGCGTGACGTAGATTCAAGTGGTAGACCACGAGCTCTGCGTGAACATCTAAACAATGTGCCGGCTCTGCCACCCGTCACACAGTGCCATTCGGGAACATATAACTAAGCACAAGCACACGTGTTGGGTGCGTGAGTCACATAATTGTACCTGAGACCTGTCTCGCGGTGCGCGACGACGAGTGCGTCCTTTCGACGGCAGGAAAATGTCCGTCTTGTTCGTAGTTTGTCCTTGTGTCGCGAGAGTGCTACTGTGAGTACCATCATCTGATATGTCCGACCAATCCTGCGCGTAGATAATACAAACAATAGGAGGTGCTGATAAGACCTGGGCGAAACGTGGCAGAGTTAGCCCTGGGTGAGAAATTTCAGTTGCCGCTCGTCCGCGGGGATGTGGGGATCAAAGCCAACATTGAAGTACTTCGAACGTTGTCGAATTCGAGTTCTTCCCAATAGCAGTAGTTGTCCATCCACGAAGGCACGTACTCTGTGCACATACTCCTGTAATCCCGAGATACAGGGGGTAATACTTGATGATGTATTTACTCATTTAGACCAAAACAAACTGTCGCTGTTAACTAGCTACTCTCGTACGCAGACCACATGTAGCAGTACGTCTACTGCACAGGAGACGTTTCGCTCATGCCCCGTGTCGGATCTGCAAATGATCACATTGTACTCTGTTTTCGCGTTACCTCCGCCAATGACCGCTGCACCCGCAGAACGCTAGAATATACAGAGCAACATCCCGTTATCCCCTCTCCTCGTATGGTGTCCCGTGTGGTCGAACTAGATGGCAAGTGCTGAGTTCTCCCATCGACAATAGTTGTTCTTGAAGTGCCCCCGGTCGCACGCCACGCTCCTTCCGCCTTGTGCGCGTGCATCGAAGCCTTCTGTCTCAATCTTGAAAAAATACCGAAGTCAAGTGCTGGAAATGTGTACTCGAGAGGTGCACAGGCAAGCCACACCTACTTCATGCGGCAGAGCGTGGATAAACAGGTTGACGTATGCAGAAGTCTTCACGTCTTCACACCAGGCAAAGTCGGCGGGTTAACTGCCGATTGGCGAAGAACCGGTTCTTAAATTACTCTTGCACCACCTGCACTAGTCACACGCCAAGTGGATGCTAGCGCATCGCACGCGCGGGCCTGCTGTCTTTTAGCCTCCATGCGCCATCATTTGTCGATTGTCAAGCACTATATCTCCTCGCACTGACGTACTGACTGTGCGGGGACGTTGCTGACGTGTGTTCGTGAGCGTGGACTGCTATGTAGTGGGCTGTTGGTCGAAGAGCCCAGTCATTTTCGGGTAGGGGTAGGGGAGAGTAAAATCGGGTACCCCGGGGGGGTAACAAGTAGCCAAGATAGGGTGTACCCGGCGGGAATAGGGTCAGGGCCGGGTAGGGGCGGGCGTCACCAACGAGATGAACCCAGGAGGGCGCTGCCAGCTGCGTAATAGAAGTGTACCTACCCGATAATGGGCGTGTTCGGATCGGGTGTACCGTTGTAACGCGATTTTGGCCACTGTTCGATCTACTATGGACTTTTTTTCTGTTTGTGCGGTAATCTCACCTCCTCCGAGCGGTCCCACAACAGGTGTCACATGTTATTCGATCATAGTCACGTACGCAACATATGTGGACACATATTGCAGGGTGGGGAAGGTAAAGGCATATACACTTGGAGAAGCATCCCATATTGTCCAATGCCAATATCTGCTTTGAACGCAGTCAGTCCACTGGCAACACACACACCCCTTCGTTTTTTCGTCTTTTGGTGGCATAACTACTCTTGTCGACTCAGAGCTACAAGCTCCATGTTGCACCAAGAGCAGATTGTCGATCAATGACGCAGCACACATATTATTTTTCAACGCAGAGCATGCGTACATTGAAACACAAACGAGATAGACTCAGGTAGAGCTTTATGACGAGGAATTAGTTGATTTGTCCCTCGTTCCCCTGCACAACTCCGAATTACGGTAATCGACTACGAATGCATTCGGCGTGACGCCGAAGCCCCCGTGTTCTGCTAAGAACTACAAACACCCAAAGAGAAGGAGCAACAACTCGCAACCAAGAATGTGTTATCAGCGTTTGCCACAAGGGTGATACTGTAATCCTGAACCACCCTTGGATGAACTTGTGTCGCCTACACGTGATATCACTTTTGGCGCTTGCTTGGAAGCCATCGGTGGTCCTTGGCAGCATTCTTCTTCCTCTTCTTTTCCATGAACTTCGATAGCTTGCCGTCCTCCTTGAGTCCCTCGTACCTGTCGGAGAAGGAAGGTCGTAGAGCGTCAGCTACCGACGAACACGGAAATCAAAGCACTCCCGTCGACCAGGGCGTTGCTCTCTCCAGAGCGGATGGGGCAAACAATACGTGGTCTCGATAGCACCGGGGTTTTTCAAAACTGTGCATTTTTCAGCGTGCGAGAGTGACAGACAACTTGCCATACTGATCACACCTTTGCTCGAGAGACAGCCTTTTCTTCTCACTGCCCTTGAGGAAGAATGGCTTTTTCCCACTGGCAACGGCTTCGCGCTCCTTCTTCTTTGCCTCACGAATTGCCGTGCGCGTCCGATCGCCCTGAGATCGTTCCGCCCTGAACAAGCAACGGGGTGTCGAATGTCAGAGCCGTCAGAATCCACGAAAGGTTACCAGTGTAGCGTAACGTACTTGCCAGTTCACACTTAAAACGAAACAATGCCTGAACGTGATGAGCACCTGAACATCTGCAACGGGGTAAGCGTACGATATATTCGTCAGACTTGATATCAGCAACGTCTACGAGCGTTCGAACAACGCGTTCACAAGCAAGGGGACGTTTTCCGACTACGTTTGCAACAGTTTCTCCTGGATTTCAAGTAGACACGCAAACCTCCTCAGAAAAAGGCCAAACGACAAGGAAGTTACGTCGTATGCATGGATTCACCTACCTTTCTTGCTGTAGACGGGTCAAGAGTGCCTGCAGTCTCCCAGAACGCTCCTGGAAGGATGAAAACCAATCGAGAAAGCAGGCGGACGTGTGGCAGGGTAAAACGGTCGCAAATAGGGGCGATTCGGTTGGATGCTGCACACCGGAGGGACTCATGGCACAAGATGAGGTTGTGGATGATAGGGCCCAATGAAACTCTTATTGGAACACTCCAATGCATGCTCCCCTGCAAATACATGTCGGAGTCTGACCCAACCACGTGTCGAAGGCCTCCAAGCGAGCCCAATGAACGAGCAATACAAGGGCCGACTGGATGACGTTTCAGCCCCAGTCTCGATGTGGAGTCGTCAGGGAAGAGCAGATCCTCGCCGTGTGATGGGTTGTTGGGATGACAAAAGTAGTAAGACTCACCTGGTTTTTCTCCTTCTTCAGAGACTTTTTCAGTTCTTCAATTTCGCTGTCCTGATACGTCCCAAGAAAGCCGTATGCCTTTCGGAAAATATCATAGTTGAGCTTGCTGGACCCCCCTCCGCCCTCGAATCGTGGATCTGCAATAGAACATCACGTGGTACGACGCGCAAATGGACGGGCACAGGGAACGACTCAAGCCCTGCATCCTGCACGAATCCATCGGACGTAGGTGCGGGCACGGACGCCGCCAGAGAACATTATCAGCATGCCTGACACTGGTTACATAATTCAATACTAGTAGATCTTAGAACGAGGTCTGGTCCTGCCTCGAGTCGGTGCCAGAGAGCGCCGAGCCACATACCTCTTGATGTCTTGCGCTTGGTAACGACCACTTCTCGGAATCGACCGACCGCCCGCAGAGACGACGCCTGGAAATTGACACGACAGATAGGCACTGAGCGGTTGAGAAACTAAAAAAAATGTGAGACACTACGTCAGAGGCCACACAAGACCACCATTCCCTGCAAGCTAGCTCTGCCGTATGTCGCGCGTGGTGTGCGTACTCATGTCATTTGATTTCATAGGCATGAATCTCACCTCTTGAGGCCTGTTCTTGTTGGCTCGACTTGGCACCTTGGTACGGCCGGATCCCGAATCCCCCCCTCTTGCCTGCTGGTGAGCAGCAATGCCGGAGCGTGCGCGATCCCGCGCCGTCTGTCGGGCGACAAGAACGCGTCGCGAAGGTCGCCCCGAACCGTGTCATGTGCTTTGAAATAAACATAGTGCCCACGTAGCTGTGTAGAGTGCCTCAAAAAGTACAACATTCGCGACAGGTGTGGTGTGCTCACAGTGTTAAAAAGAGAGCCAGATCAAACCCGACGAAAGAACCAAACTGTCAAGAAAACAGCTCCCATTTTCTGTTGAACATCGTCTACAATCAGCGTACATGTATGTCACGCATCTGGTAAGGCCGTCTTCGATCAAAAATGCATCGAGATCGAGAATAGAGGGTGGGTTTATGTTCCATTTACTGGAGAGTCTGCCAAATCCAAACAAACCAAGCAGTCCAGCGATATCGTGTTCGTGCAGTCTAACCCTATACTTCGGACGTCATCTTGAACATTAGGTTTTTCGTTGCTGATGGGTGCGTTGATGTTGTTCCTGGCCCATACCACCGGCTGGAAATACAAACCTGGCCTCTAATTCTCTCTGCCGGTTGCTGCTACCTAGCTCCAGGACTGAAATTAGTGTTCTATACGCGCGTTCAAACCACGGCACACCATACCTTTGCGGCGTTCGTTTGTTTTTGTTCCCCTCCCGTGTTGTCTCTAATGTGGCGTTTTCGCCTTGATGGCCCGGCTCCATGCGACAGTTTGATGAGACGCTCGCCAATCGATTCTCCCTGTACACGGAAAAGGGCGGGTACAGTACGTAGTCGCGTGTTGTGTGTGTTTTTTTGTTATTAGCATCGACCGCGCTAACCGGCTCACTTAATGAAAGTCCAATGCGTTCGTTTTATCTATTGGCGTGTTGTGAATCAAGACATACCGACCCATCATTGACGTGGCACGTAACGCGTTGTGTAAGAAAACGCAGGCGGGTGCAGATTCACGAAGAAGACTACTCCCACTGACGACCGCAATACATGGAAGAGGTTTTTTCATCACCTACAAGTGTACTTCGAAGTTACAACACTTGCCGTAAATGAAGCTTACTCAAAAATACTACGGAGTACGACGGAAGAAATATAACATCGCCCAAGCATTGGTATGTAACCCTAATCCCACAACACATTATTCCGCTCGAAGGGCGTGAGAGGTTTGACGTGACCAAGAAGACTTCACCTCTCCGAATCCTCGTTCCTCTGACAGAGCCTCCGTCGTACGATAACCACTCATACATCCTGTAAACAAAAAAAAGGTGCTTCTCTTCGAGTACGTTCCGGAAGTGCTACGGACCTGCTCCTTGTTTGGCTGCTCTTCCGTTGCGGCTTCATTTTCGTCCAAGTCCTCGTCGTCCCAGCTATCGTTGTCGGAGGCCACCTCTTCACTGCATTGACCGCTGACCTCATCATCAGAAGGCTGCATCTCGGCCCTTTTCCTCATCCGTTCCTCTCCCGCGTCTCGTGTGTTGAGAGTCATCTCTCTCTTCTCTATCGCCACATACACGCGAATAGGGCCACAGCATTGAAGGACCACTCGTTGTTCAGGCAACCAACTCTATTTATTCGGAGCAGAGGGTCAGCGCGAAACAGCTAGACTGCTGTTAACCCTCCTAGTACTCAGTCCCGCCGCAAAAAAAATGTCGCAAGATAGTTTGTCAGCGATTGGTCGAGGGGCTAAAGTCCCGCCAAATAATCTGATCTCCTTGCCAGACAAAGGGTGATCTGGCTCAGTATAACAAGAGTCCCAACAACACGTGGGGGCCGTTTTCATACTTAGGCCAAGTCAGCAATTTTTTTCAGTACCAGGCGATGTACAGTTTTAGGATCTAGGGGGCACGGGGGTTGGGAGATGTGTACAGCCAGTCAGAGGCCGAGGAGAGGTATCACACATCATATTACACAGCGTCCCACCTCAGCCAAGCATGATAGACCAAGGGTTCTCACGTTCGTTGCACACAGCGGAGCCTAGGGTGAATACAGTGCGGTAAATAGGCTTTTTGAGTGATGTGTCCCCAAAGTGTCCCTATTTGGACTTCCAGCACAATACAGCTGTGTACGGGGGAGTTAATGGGTTAATGCCAGCGAGAGATCATGGGCTCAGAGGGAATGCCAGGGAACTGCCCCCACTGACGTGGTGGTTACTTGAAGCGAATACCTTATCAAGTGGCTGAGTTTAGCCCACTGTGTATGAGATCTGACACCAGCATGTATCAATCACCTACTGTCTCCAGCATCGAGGGTTCTTTCATGCAGCAGGTGCATCCGCTGGGCAACTGCAGTTCGATACAACAACATCAGGTTTGTAGGGGACAATCACCCATCCTCACCACCATAAGCGCAGAGAACAGCAGCAGCACTCACCACACCCCCGTCTTGTCGGCAAGTATCAAGTTCAATGCTGTCCACGCGCGGGTTGCGCCTTCTTCAGTGAGCTCGGCTCTCAATCACCTGACCACTGGTGCCTCAGTTCTTCAAAAGCCTGGTTCTCCGATGCCCCGCCAAGGGTTTCCATGGAAAGAGGGGCGAAAAACGAAACTGCCATTGCTGACAGTGCTGCGGACGAGAAAAGGGAGATTTGCCCGCCTTCGTCTAGGCGTCGCTGCTGCAGTAGCAGCCGTGCATCTCGCTTCCCTAGTGTAAGAACCAGCAACATGAAGAACCATGCGGACGAGCACGAGGCATTCGCGGCAAGCAGGAGTAGCGAGCATGTCTACGTGCCCATCGATGACAGAAACTTCACTACCTTGGATAAGCATGCCGAGACAATCGAGATGGACGCCAAGCTTCCGTTGGTGCGCATGTTTCGTTTAGCATGCCCACGGCCGAGCATGGGATGCGCGTCGTCCAGGGTAACAATAGACATGTTTTCGTGTGCGTAGCCTTGCAGTGTTTTCATGCTCGGCACTGAACTCGAGGGACCGTCCCTGCGGTACTTTGGCAGGTCCTTGTGGGAGAACCCGGCATCGGCAAGAATGCTTTGCTGTCCAACTGGGTGAAGCGGCGTGCAGGAACAAAACACCGGGACGAATTTTTGTTTCAGTATTTTGCTGGAGCGTCAACGAGAGCGAAGCAGCTACCTCATATGCTTCACAAGGTGAGAGTCAAACCGTCAGTCGCCTTCCACGTTTTATATGGTCAGAGTACCGATGGCTTGAAGCGAGCAAAATGGACTGACCGTTCTGCCACTGGCGTGTAGATGTGTCATGTCCCTTTCGACATTGCAGGCAATAACATTTGGTTGCAATATTGATTGTACCCACCATGCACGTCGCTGTTATCTACGGGTGCGATTTCTAGAGGACTAACACTCTCTGTCGACAACCGCTGTCAATTGCCACAGCTGGAAACAGCCCTCAAGGAGTTCTTCCAGCTGAGGGAAATGGAAGTTCCGTCGTCGGAAGAGAGGTGAAAGCGGACTGCGATGTATACACTATTGGAGTACTCAATGTCAGTCATTAGTATTTACTGCTGTAAACAAGTACACTATGGGAGTACTCAATGTCAGTCATCAGCAGGTATTCACCTAAGAAGTATTAATAAGTAGGTATTCACCTAGGAAGTATTACCGGAATAATCTTCGGTATATTGATTCAATAATCGGATCATTGTACACATCTGCGGGTTATACATTGAACCATATGGTGCATTGGATCATTGTCCTATGGGATATTCTAGAAACGTTGTCATAGGTCTGATCGACCGTCTATTACCATGATCGGTACGTTGCAAGAGCCCGTGCGTGTTTCCTTTCCGTGATGACGATGGATGGCTCGCCCCCGTGGCGCTCGCCCCCACTTGCTCACTCTCTTTTCTCCTCCTCTACTTTCGGCCAACTAAGCGCCAATTCAAACCATACCTTCTGGTCTACGACACAAGTGTACTTTACACTCTGTGAGCCTCTGCACACTGTTACTATACAGCGGCCATTGCCAGGGATACGCCTATCACAAAGGTTACATCCCAACATACACAGAAAACGAAAGCTTCTTGCATGCGAAGTTTGCCCCGAGGCTTGCTGCTTTTGTCTTCCCACAGTTTTGCATACCAGGTGCCGAATGTTTCTCAGATGGCCCTAACTACACATATCTCACAAGAGCTGGCGTTCATGTCTTGTGTTTCTACCGCTACTCCGAAAACGACGACAAATCGTGATATCATGGTATAAAGCGTTTTTTTGGGTCGTGTTCTGCTTCTGTTCTCGTTGGGTGAATATTCGTATCAGCTAGCCGACAGTCGTATGCTCATGGTAGTCAGCAGTCTCTTCTGTTCAAATGAATCGCTCGGCACGTCGCGTGCGGTAGTAGTTTTGTGCGACAGGACTGATCACCTCGTGTCCGCGCTCGTGTCTTGTGTTCCTCCAGGCTCATTTGGTCCCTCAATCGATTCCTTGCGGCCGCTGCAAAGAAATACTACCCTGCTCGAATTGTGATCGTGATCGATGGTGTTTTTGCCATCAAGGTACGCTGCATTTGAGATCTATCGAATTCAGTACAATATTTCAAATCTTAAACACACAGCAACTCTGTGCACGCAGTGTTGACCCCGTAGCCCAGAACAGTTCGGTACGCACGATAAAAAATAATTGACCCTGTAGTCTAGGCTCTGATGTTTACTGAATAGTTGGGAGTTGCCACACATGGCAGCACCTTCCTCCTCTTCGTGTTTATATATTTTCTTATCTCTCTATCTTAACCAGGGGCTGGAAATGCCTGCTGGAGCTCTTCATTGGTTGCCAACCGAACTCCCGGCGGGCGTGAGATTTATCGTGTCCACGATAGCAACCACAGACAAGGGCGGTACACCAAAGCCGCACAGAACATACCTCGAGCTTCTGCGGCGGTGAGCTAGCAAATACGTACGTGACCGCGGTCAGTGCCGACCCCGTCTTGTAGGGTTTTAACCTACAGTATACATCGTACAGAATCAATACGTGCCGTATTGTTCGAGAATGGAAACTAGTAATTTCAGGTCATGGTGACACCAAAGCCGCACAGAACATACCTCGAGCTTCTGCGGCGGTGAGCTAGCAAATACGTACGTGACCGCGGTCAGTGCCGACCCCGTCTTGTAGGGTTTTAACCTACAGTATACATCGTACAGAATCAATACGTGCCGTATTGTTCGAGAATGGAAACTAGTAATTTCAGGTCATGGTGACACCAAAGCCGCACAGAACATACCTCGAGCTTCTGCGGCGGTGAGCTAGCAAATACGTACGTGACCGCGGTCAGTGCCGACCCCGTCTTGTAGGGTTTTAACCTACAGTATACATCGTACAGAATCAATACGTGCCGTATTGTTCGAGAATGGAAACAGTAATTTCAGGTCATGGTGAAAGCCACCATATTCTCCAGTCTGCATTTAGTCGAGCTTGATGTTGATCGCGACTGGTGCCCCACCGGAACAACTGTTTTTTCCGCTTCCAGGAAATGCCCAGTCCTCATGATGGAGGCCATGAACGGTGAATGTCAGGAAGCCATCATCGGTGCGTTCATGCAAATGCACCCAAAACAAATCCAGCTCACCAAGGAGCAGGTAAGCTAAGATCTCTCATCTTCACGTCTACCATGCCCCATTCCACCGCCGATAGCCGAGCCGCTTCTGCAAGGAATATGCAGCAATTCGTTATACTCCATCTGTGCCTTGTTTCCGTAGATCAAACGGATCATACACCTGGAGGTGCAGTCCAAGCCAATGTACCTCCGGACTTTACTATACGCACTCCGCCAAGGAGTAGCGCTAGAATCGGGGGAGCCAGTCTCCAAGTCTTCGTCGCCAAGTGTTGCCACGGCGGCAGAATCCGCCCCCGGGGTTGATGCCTCCAGTACGGGTAGCGTCGCTTCCAATCCGAACGGCGCTGCTGGAAAGGTGCCGGACCGGCTGCTGGACTTATATTTGTCGTCGGAAGACAGCATTTCGCTCACGTCCAAGGTGCTGGACGTGTACGCTGCGTATGTGGACCGGGGAGAGGCAAGTCTTGCACGATGAAAAAGTCGGTATCATGCGCTGGTGTCGGGGTGTCTTATACGCGTCCGCCATTCCTGCTACACTCCTCAATGTGTCAGGATATGAATGTTAGACTGGAATAACGCGAACGCCCGTTTGCTGTTTGTTGTCGTGGTTTTTACAGATGGGCGCCAGCATTATGGGTGCGGTTTTGTCCGTGTTATACGCAGCTCGGAACGGTCTGATGGATTGCGAGGTAAGGCATTGGTCGTCATCAGCATTGCATCGGCGACGCCGCATCGTGGGTGGAATCAGGAGTACCAGTAGAGTGCATCGGTTACGCAGTGAATCACTCGTGATCGGGCGACTAAATATATAATGCATTTAGAGCATGTTTGATTCCACTCTTTCAGGTCTGGGGAGCGGCCGAGATCAATCTGGGGTATGAGCTTTCGGAGGACCACAAGCGGGTGCTTCTCCTGGTGCTTACGGTACGCTGAAACTGTAGAGTACAATCTGGACGTAAGTTGGGTTGGTAGCGTATTGTACTTCATATCGTTACACAAACGTGAGACACAAGCTGCTCGACCGTTCCACTACAGTTTTGGGAAAATCGCGATACAAGTTGATTGTTATCACTTCGTGCGTTATTTTCTCACAGGATAATACGATGTTGGTTCAAGGGCAACGCAGTTTCAGCCACGAGGAGTTCCGTGGTGTGGTTTACTCCAAATACATCCAGAGCCCAGAAACAATGGTTCGTTTGCACATACAGATGGCGCGCTACTTCGCGCGGCTCCCTGCTTCCGACCGAAAGGTGAGCTTCTGTTGGGCGAAAGGTGCCGTCCGCTTGATGTTTCAGCTTGCCACGAGACACATGCTGAGATATTTTCATCGTATGGACGTTCGTCGTGATCAGGTGGAATGTCAACCCTATCATCTCGAAGCTGCCGGATGCTGGAACAAGCTAAAAAATTGCCTCGTCGACATCGATATGTTCGGTATTTGGTGGACTCCTAATCACAAAAAGGAGTTTGTTGCACTTTGGGCAAGTCTCACTAACGCCAACAACAAGGTATGTGGGGACGCCGTGGAAAGTGTGCAACGCAAGCAGTTTTGTACCCGCGTTCGTCTTGTCGGCAAACCTATTGCAACACGATTCGATCACCTACGTTAGCGCAAGGATCACTTTTTGACTTAACGATACAGGCTGCCATACCCGCTGTCGTTGAAACGTAGCAAGGAAAAACACGTCGACGAAACAGAATGTAGTATCAAAGTCCGCGCGATATTTCGTTGCCGAGCCACGAAAACTTCGCTGATGAGTACCGACCTGTGAAACGTTGCCTGATTGAATGTCTTCTCTAGTCAATGGAGCACGATGTACCTATCTACTCTAGCCTGAGTCATGTACAATATCCTTGGACGAAAGAACGAACCTTGGACAAAAGAACAAACAACTTGTTCAAAACGGGTCGATACACATGTACTGCGCAGGATGCACTTGCAAAGAAACTGGTAACTTCTGAGTTTTCCAAGACCATGGAGTGGAAGCAGAGCCCGCGACCTTGCTATGACATGGTGGAGGAGTACAACCGCAGTCTTGATGAGTACAAAGACAAGGTGAATGTGTCGGCTAGGGCATGCGCACAGCGAGGACAACGGCAGAGAATACCTGCAGCGAAACCATGTAACAGCCCCGAGGGCTCTCGAAAGAGTGGATAATTGAGACAAAAGTACGTCGTGCTTCGTTTCTGGTAATTCCAGGTCCATCCATCAGACGAGAGAATCGCCGCTGTCATACTGGAGATCGCCGATTTCATGCTGGAGTTTAGTACCCTCGGGCATGAGGAGGCGGCGGATATTCCTCAGTTTGTCCACCCACGAATACCAAATGAGGTGCGATTCATTCTCATATTTTTGCCCGCCGCTTCCATAGGAACGAGGGTTTCAGGCTGCGAAAGGAACCGAGCCTTGGCCAGATTGCGTAGCGGCAAAGCCATGTAGGGCCAGGCTCTTCCGCGACTGGCGTGGTGTTGTCGACTGAGGGAGTTACCATCAGCGTTGAAGTGACCGAACATTGGACTCCCGTCCCGCCCGCAGGATCTGGGATCTCTTGGGGTGCCGTTTCTGAGTGTTGACGAAGACGGCCGTAGTGTGTTGAACAAGCCATTGCTGACAGAGACCAAGGAGGATGACAAGCCAGCCGGCGTTGACCAGCCACCCAAACCGAACGAAGATTTCCCGGACTGCACAACGTACTTCTATCATCGGTGGATGTGGATACAGGTGACTCGATGAGCAACGGCCGCATGTTTGTGCTTCGACAGCAACACGCGAAGAGGCTTATGTCAAGGGTGCACTCGCCGGGTTGAAGCGCTACAGCACTTACTCATGGGGTCGTCTGATACCCACGGCAGTATTCTTCCATCTCTCTCTGCTTTGTGCCTGGCGCCATGCGTCATGTCTCGCTCGCCGCCCCGCCTTCGTATCTCTGGCATCGCCCATTTCGCCGTGCTCTTTCGGTCTAGTTCCCCTGGGTTGCTTTGGCCAACTGTGGAGAGAAGTACTTGATCGGGATCTCCTTAAAAGACCAAACAGATTCGCTCGGCGTCGGGAGAATGACGAAGCAACTAAAAAAGAAGGTGATTCGCCATTGGACGACAACAACAACATTAGGCCTTAGTATTGCGTTGGCCCAGATGCCAAGTAGAGGCATGCGGTAAGATTTTGAGAGGATCCATTGTTAGAGTTACGTGGGGTTCATATGCCAGGTTGACGCATCCCGCATGCGCACTCTCGGACCGTGAGGCTTGGCTTCCTTAGACCTTCATCTTGATCTTCAATGGCGATTCGTGGTCGCAGGGAATGGGGAAACCTATGCCAGGAGTACTTTCAGACTCAGGAAGCGTTACACAAACAGGTGCCAGAGGTCGCAAGGGTGGGGCGGACAAATCCGTTGAGCGTGGTGGTCGTGGAGGTGCCAAGGGCCACAAGAGAGCAGAGGACGAAAGACTCCAAAATGGTGCGTCACCAAAATATGCACAAACTCTGCTCCGCACAAGCCCTGACGTAAATTAGAACGCGCGGCTCTCCCTGCGTAGTCGTCATCGTCCGTGCGATGGTTTCCGTATTGTACCAGCACTACACCTTGAATACCCCAGTGAACGAGCAAGAGCGAGACACGGTCTGTGGAATCTTGTTCTGTTTTATAGTACAACAGTCACTTGATAGAGAAAAGGGGGCGGCAATTGGTTTTGTTCCAAGCAATACCCCTTGTTGACAATCGCGGCAACATCGAAAGCATCTGTTAGCCACGTGACCGTTTGCTCTCTCGTTCACAACGCCAGGCGGAGAGCCCAGTTCACCTTCCAGACTTCCAGGTATTGCATCGCAGTTGTCGCCTGCGAGGGCTGCTAGACGAAGGCGATCGTTCAAAAGAGGTCCCAGCGAGGTAAGCAGGACACTTTCACTTCTACCCGGAAAGTGCAGCTCGGCACCATGAGAAGAAGCACGTGATTGTTGCTAGACTTGTTGGAAGACCACGCTGTTCGTCGAAAACCTGAAGAAGGCGAGGCGTTTGTGTGACAGGGGGGCTCCGCAGACGAAGACAGCAACTACTGGACCAAGATGATGAGTGTCATACGCGGGGAGATCCAAGAGTACAGATCCGAGCTGGATTCTTTGACGATAAAAAGGGTGCAAATGGAGAGGAAGTTAAAACAGGTGCTACGTCGTTTCACTGCATCCTGGTCTACTACTTTCGTCAAATATCTGTTGCTTCTGAGAAACCAAAATCCACATGATGAAACTGATCGGACTAAAACCAAATGATCCTGCAACAAATGGTATAGTAGGTAGTGGTGTCATTCAGCAATGGTAATATCTAGTGGTATCATTCCATGTGGTCCACTGTTGCTCGCGATTCATCTGGATTCAAGAGACGAACAAAGGATCGAGTGATTTGCAATTTTCTTGCCATGATTTCAAACGGAGTAGCCGAAAATGTGCCGGATATTTTCTCGGGAGGGTGGCCGACCGACTGTTGTACTGTTCCCCCCCCCCTTTCGAGTCTTACCTGTAATCGTGTTACTACCGATACCTATGACACCTGCATTAAACAGGTCACCGACGAGGCCAGCCAGATGTCGGAACTTGCCGGTGCGAAGCAAAAGGGCGAAGACAAGGTTGGATGCGTGCTATGGCGTTACCAATGTGATTGAATTTTGCGTTTCCGGACCCGCCCAAAAGTTGTTGGAGGTAAAAACGATCACAGAAAATTCAGAACGACTCGGGGGTAACCTTTGACACGCTAGAGGTGCATGCAAGGCTGCTCGATGCCCGAACAATCTAGCCTCACGTTCACGACTTGGGGTGGATCATATCATGTGTAGGGGTTGTTTCAAAGTGTGTAAGAAATCGCTCAAAGACTTAAGACTGGGTAAAACGACGTTCGGAGGCAGCCTGGGTCCTTTGGACGTTGACTGCCGTATGTGGTGGCCTCCAAAAACCAGCTGTCTCTGCTGGTCCGGGTTATCATCAAACAAAATGTATCGAAACTACGACATTGGCAGTCGATTTGTTTCCAAGAAAAACAAATCATTGTATTTTGCAGGTTGCTCACCTCTTGCGAAGGGAAGCCAAGGTGACGAAATCGCACGCCCACGCTAGGCTACTTGCGAAGAACTACAAGTGTCTCCTGCTCATGTGCGAGAGACATCCCGCCCACTCAAAGGTACGACAGCAACATTAACATTAGTCCGACAATAAACTCGGTGTTGCCCAACTAACTAACTGTCGTATTGCCTTTGGTTCAATGTACAGTATTACGCCCCATTGAGTGATTCTAAAGCCTCGTGTTTGAGCCCGTCTACTATCTGATCGTGGTTGCTAGGCTCTGGTAGACGAGCTGGAACTGAAGCTTGACCAGGACGAGCGCTTGGTGAAAGAAGTCTACGCACGCTTCCGTGAGGAATGCTGTGAGAAACAAGCGTGCCAAACGGATTTCGCATCCATGAAGAAAGCTATCCAGGAGAGAGCAGCGCTGCAGGAAGAGATGCTCTTCAATCGTCACAAGCAACACGAAACCCTGCAAAGAAGCAATGCTGCCAGCACCGAGCGACTATCACAGGTGATAGTCAAAAACATCACATTGTTTCCGTTTGTATTGTCCGTACGTATCGCGGTCACTTTGGGAACACCTCGAAAATCAGGGTATTACACATTGTACAGCAGAACACATGTAATGTGTCGTCAGTTACATTTCGTTGGCAAGAAATAAACTGTTCTAAAGGGGTGGTCACTCGGTCAATTGCATTAGTTGCACGGTAGCGGTCAATAGAGGTGCCGTGTCTGAAGTTGGAGGTGGTCGATCGGCCGAAACACCAGTAACTTGTTACACGACCTCACAAAACCTGTCTCTCTCTCGATCGGATACAACTTGTCAGTTGAACTTTTCCATGTCAACGGAAGACGGGGCTTCCACCAAGCGGCACAAGGCCCATGCGATGCTCGGGCAGCTGCGAGAAGGGGGTGGTGGTGACGGCGGGGAAGGTGGAGGCACCGAAGGGTGGGAGGAGGTAAGCCGTCGAGTCACTACATCACTCGCCGGTATGGAATATTCCACGGGACGAATGCTCTTGCTTACTATATGCTTTGCCCCGTGGTACGCGTGCCAGGAACGGCATTTCACGCGTTCGTATGTCGCGTGATTGCACGCGTGTTTTCATTTTCCCCCCTCCAGGCGTGGGCATTGATTCGAGCGAGTACGGGCATCGCAGATCCCGACCTGTTCATCCAGAAACACCTCAACTGCGACCACTTAGAGACCCAGCTTATGGAACTCAAACAGGCGAGGATGCTGCCGAAAAACCACAGTATTTCACGCCGGCTACGGGGTTGTCGAGGCCAACACCAAGGGCCAAATTACTGCTGTACTAGAGGCGTATAGAAGAAAACTATCGCTGGAACCAAGAACTCGCTCGCTACGCCCAACGGTGGTGACGAAAGCATCTAACGTGAGCAACAGGAATTGGACGTCATCGAACCAACTGCTTCTGTGTGATTAATAGGCAACGACATGCGTTGCCCTCCTTCACACAGCCTTTTTGCGCTGTTTCATCGACAGGTCAGCGAGTCGCGTTTGAGCGACCTGAAAAAGGAAAGTACTCAGTTGGAGGAAGAGCTCGAGCAGACAAGGTGCGGGTCATGCAAGAGTAATAGTGTTCATCAAGGCATGTTTAAACGACGACCATAGCCAGATGCAACTTTCCTTGTCAATTTCCTTGCGGATGGGGTACTGTGCTGAAACTGCGCGTATTCGCTTGAAGATGGGTCTGCAACGCCCGAGGAAGCCCCCTACGACTGAGAACATTCCACACGGATAAAGTAGCTCTGACAAAGCTCCTGGTCGGATACCGTTTCGAGTGTGGCCAATACACAGCTGCTTCGACGACAAGGAAGCTAGGCGTGATTATAACGAGGACGTTCGCTCTGTTTTTCCTTTCCTTTTTATCAGGTACAACTCGCTTTCGATAGGCGGCAACAAGGAGGCCAGAGATTTACACCAACGCCTCAATGAAGCACAGGTACATAAATCCTAGCGAACGGTGCTTAACAGTGTGTTTGTGCAAACCTGCTTTGACGTAGGGGTCTCTCCCCCTGTCTCAAGTACAACGCAATTAGCACGCGTGCGTGGATTGTACGCCTCGTTTGTTGTTTGTCGCGAGGTACAATCCGTAACCCACTCAATAGCTGTCGCTATCACTTTTGGATTTTGGACGAGGGCCTTTTGTCCCCGCTAGAAGTGAGGACCTGCCCAAGGTTTGCTCTCATCCTTTCCTCCTATCGTTGTGGGCCGAAAGAAGGCCCAAACTGTATGACGAAAATCTATCACCGAGGATAATCACTGAAACAACCTGCAACGCCATGCCACGAAGGGAATCCGTCCGCCCTCCCACTAGACTCTTAAGCACTACAACGTCCACCTCTTCACCGACCGTGCAAATCTGGAACCATAGGTGAGATTGAAACGATCAAAGGAGAGGTCAGACGCCATGGAGAACCTGCAGAGGCATACCGTGTCTGGCCTGAGACACATCTGCGATCTCCTCGGAGCACCCGAGTCCGAAGACGACGCCCATGTGGCCGAGATGGTGAGCTGGATGAATATTGGGATGGACTTTTTGCGAGAGGGCGACAGATCAGGAGAAACCCGAAACCTCATCACCCATGGCACCCGACAAATACGAAATTGGCGTCCCTTCCCTAACTTCGTTTCGCATTCAACATGCATGTATTAGTACGAAATGCGTTGTAAAACACTTGACCTCTTCGGATGGATGTGTTTCTTCTTGGCAGGTGCATCAACTGGAGTTTATTCTTGATTCTCTGGTCGACGAAAAGGATCGTTCAACGCAGAAACGAGGGGAGGCAACAAGTGGTCGCGCTGCAGGAGTGGGGGCTGGACACGGATCGGCGAACAGTGCAAGCGACGGAAGCAGTCAGCTCAGCCTGGAGATCAGCGTCTCACGACCAGCGGAAATCGAAGCAGCCTTGCAGCAGTTTGTGTCTCCAAAGGTAGCTTTTTACATTTCCTCAAAGCGCCACACCAGCCGTACTCACTGCACGATACCTCTTGGTTATTGGCGCATAGTTTAGCAGCGTGGTCTGACCTATCCTCTTGCTGCGCGTCACGCCCTCAGCACCCCTGCCCACCCCCGGTGATGCCCCGGTTTAACCGACAGGTGCGCGTTGCACAACAGCTGATCGGTTCGAGGGGCAAGAGCGACAGGGATGCCGCGTCGGCGTCGGCGTTCCCAGAGATTGACAGCCTCGCGGACGAAGGTAGGGGCTGTTTCCCACTTGAGGTATAATGGCGAAAATATGTTCTTCTCTGCGCCTTTGGTCAACAATGATCTGCAGAGAGGGCATGACCCACGCATCTCTTACATTATATCTTGACCATAGCTATTCCTCCAAACACATCGATGGTTGCCACCACCAGGTCATGGCAGGCACGTCCGACACGCGCGGGTGGTTGTGCAATAGTACGTAGGCGTCTCCGTGACTTTCTCATGGACGCAACAATCGAGGTGATAAGGTCATCTAGGATCCCAGTGTCTTGGCTAGTTCTCAAGCAACCCTTCCGCCCAACTGTCTGAATCACCAACGCATGATCTGTCAGCAGAGACCGGAGGGGTCTTCGTGCCAAACCGTGAGGCTGTAAAGGCGAAGTCGGCGAAGACTTTCAGGGCAGAGCAGCGCAGGCAGGCGCGACTTCAGAAAACGACCGTGGTGTGACATGGCTGGGTTATCTGCTTGAGCCAAAGGAAACTCCTAGGATGCGGAGAAGGAAGCAAAACCGTTCGCTTGTCAATGGTTTTACCCGTGACGCCACTAATTTGATACACATGATTACTCGACACTCTGAACTAGATCACGGCAAAACTGGCCGCTTCTTACCAAACGGTCAAAGGTGTTGTACACAAGGCCCCACGTGCCATCGTATAATATGTAGACATACGACACGTTCATTCGGCTCAAATACCACGACTAAAACACACATGCCGGCACTGCGCAGCAGACAAAAACTAATCAGATGAACGTACAGCGAATGGTGATCATGGCAAGGTAGAATAATAGGGTCTTGTTGCCTGATACAAGATTCGATGTCTTCTGCGTGGCTGTTGTATTTCTCTCAGGAGTTTTCGTGTTCCGAAGCGCAACGATGTGGGCACCGTGTGTCTTATGTACTCCAATTGAAAAATCTACCCTTTGACGTCTTTACCGCCAAGGTGCCACCAGACCGCGACAATAAGCGTTGCGACAAGCCGTTTTCCAGGCCACAGCTCAATACATGCCCTGGAGCCACTCCGTAGCACGTAACCTCAAGCTGGCAGTGCGTGTTTCCCAGGGTCACGAGGAAACAACAACAATCATCCTTATGAGCACTCAGCCAAGCTGTGCGGAATCTCAGCTAAATCGCTCTGCCCTTGCTTGTGCTAGGCTCCCCTGTGCATTCTCTACGATCTGCGCAACGAGCCGACCCGTGAGTTATCTCCAGCTATAATAAACGGCATTTCCGGTCCGGGGTCGTGTGTGAACGTACGTTCAATACTTTTTACACCGAGCAGTCTCCCATCTCCGTCGACAAATTCAGGCTCAGGCCCCTGCCCCTCACAGACTTGATGGGGACTATTCTCCGTCGCCCTGGCTCCGCCAGCACTCCTTGCGCAACGCTGTCCGCGAGTACCCACTTGCCCCCCCGAAGCGCTGACCTTACAGGTGAAGACTGGGCATAATCCTGGGATTGGTCGAAGATACCGCACGCAAGTTGCATGGGCTCTTCCAACCACTACTGTAGCCATGTAAACGCAACAGTAACCTTCGCTCACTGCAAGGTGTTTCTGCACGAGCGCTAGCTACCGCTAGCAGGGACAGTTCTAGCTATGATGCACCTTCAAAAAGCGAAACATCACCAAAACTCCATGGGACGTACTTATGTCGATGCACGACGCAATCTACAAGCCTTTGTGTGACGAAAATGTGGCATCTTTGCGCAAGAACCTCCACGCTCAGTTGCTGCTAAACGGAGAGTTTTGGGGAACACCTGCTGCACACCCCTTGACTTGCTGTCGAGTTCGAACGAAAGCTTAAGGAGAGACAGGAGGTCTCGGGTAGTTTCAAACGCCTAGACAAGTATGCATCGCCTGCACGGGCCGATCAAAGAACTGTGCGGTGGAATGTTGTATGGCCATGTCGGACGAATGTTAGGAGTGTACCGTATATGACACAAGATAACATACACCCTGGACCGATTTTCAAAGCTCGACTACTCCACGACGAAGAGGATGCAAAAATGAAACGATACATTTTCGAAAAGCTCTCGACGAGACGGTTTCAACGCCGCCGTTTTCGGCGCTGTGACTGTTCCGGCAGTTGAGAAATCGAGCTTCGAAAATCGGTCAAGGGAGTGTGTTATCTTGTGTCATATACGGTATGCATCGAGTTGGTACGCTGAGCCGAAGCAGTACATTATCGGTACATTGGTCGCACCTGAGTTGCATCGTGTCTTCCGACTTGGCCTTCATTGTCCTCGTGGGCTTCTACGTGCAACGCAAACGTGCAGCCTTGCCGCGTCGGTAGGTGAGCCGACGATTTTTGAATCTGGAGGAGCGCAGATCGAAGCTGATCTTCTACGTCCTGGCAATAGAGCAAAACAATCATGAGGTTACATGGGGGATGGATGGATGGACGCGGGGATTGACAAAACACAAATGGACATGACAGGTTGGTGAACGATGGGTTCGAGAAACAGCTGTATGAATATCTACTGGAGGTGGAAGCGCCACTACGAGTGCGTAGAAAACAAAAAACAAGATGGACGCACTGAACAAGTAAATGTGAGTACCTGCAGACTTGTTGAGTCCACGGAGTCATCACCGTCGTTGTCAACCCGAACGTCGAACGCGACTCTCTCGACAGGGGCTTGGTCCACGTGTTCTTCTTCCAGGAAGAAGCACACAAGCACTCTACGAACTACTCCTTGTTCCATAAGCAACTTCACCCGTAGCAAAACCTGTCCCCGAGACAGAACGACCGTCGGCGCCACGAAGGTGGTGTGGTTGTTCGATCGGAATTTCAACGGCTCCATAGGAGGATTGGAAGGTGACACACCTATAATCGCTAGGTATAGTTCATATGTGCAAGTTTTTGATATTCAGGGGTATGGATCTGTTGAGATACATGTAGTACGTACAAGGGCGCTTCGCGGCGTACCGCTTGGCGGTCGCCGCTAGGCTCGTAGGTTTAGTGGCGATGGCAAGTGTGTGCGGGCGGAGTTTTGAAGCAAGAGATACGACGAAGAAATGCTGCGAAGAGAAAAAAAGTTGTTTGTTTGAAGAGCAGAGACGCACAATTACTATACTCATATGTTATGCGACGCCGGCCGGAGGACAGAGTATTTCATTACTCGGAGTAACAAGTTTGTTTTTCAGAAACAAAGGCTCACTTTCCACGAAAAAATAGGAAAATAGGGTTGTGTAACATAATCGCTCAACCTAGGCCACACCATAGAAGAAAGGTCTCAATAAGAAAACAGAGGAGCGACCCCTAAAATGTTCTACTATTCGTAAGACACGAGAGGGGTTCCGGGGGGTTAGTGTGTCGAATAATTTATTGAAGAAAGATACACCAAGCAAAGAGCTTTTCTCTCTCTCTTCCCCCTCTTTCCCATGTGCTACCCACCCCCTCAGCGAGACGTTGTACCTGAATAAAGTTCGCTACTTCTAGGTTTGTGTGGCCTTCGTATGTGATCTCATGTACAACCGTCGGTGGTGAGAATCGGGGTTGAGTACGGGAGGCGAGGAAAAGCAGCGCAAATCATTCCGTACGGTCGTTTGTGCAGCACGTTGTGTGTAAGCAAAAGCAGAGAAAACTAGACAATTTTTTCTGCCGATTTATCGAAATATGGCAACCCACTATTCCGATATGTTCTGCCAGAGGGTGTTGGGAGTCAGATGCCTGTAGAAGTTCGTGTGTTGGTGTGTGTTGATGGGATGCGGAGCATGTCCCCGTAGCCGCTCTACAATAAACTGCCACTGCGGCAGGTAGCCAGAAGAAGATATTTCCGGAAAAAAATATTTAGACTACTTCCATGAAACGGAGGAAGAAACAACGTATTTCATGCTATTTTATTTATCTCGGGGGGGTGTAGTTTTGCAGACAGCCGTGCGCACAACACCGGCCGCTAACCCCCCCGCCTTTTGCCTGGATCAAAAGGGAGACGCACTACAGCAGTGGAGTACTTTGTCTCGTGTCATGCAGAAACTTGGTGGCTTGGTTGTCGTGTGTGGTAGGGTGTGTAAGGTGTAGCCAGTGCACACGCACAATCCACTTCAGCAGCTTGCCGAATGTATGTGTGAATGGCCTGCACTGCTGTCAAGAAATCGGGGTGTGAATGGTGGATCCATGGTAGATGTCGGAGACGCGACATTCTGCCCTCGCTAGCGCTGCACGCAGTCCGCCCCGAGGGCGCGGGGCACGCCGGGAGGGCCCTCGCAGCACAGGGCTATCGGTAGGTGCAAGTCCCGCTTCGAGGCGAGGTCTACGGGCGGAAAAGTAAAAAGGGCTCTTGGCTCACGGGATCATCAGGATTCCATTTCCTGCGATCTCGTGAGCCCTTAGCCCGTAGAAAATCTGCCTATAGGCCTATATCACAGCTACTGCTAGCAAATAGTAGCATCGACCCAGCCCAACTTGCTGACCAATGAACAGACAGACAGCAGGCAGGGAACAGGTATATGTTATTCCGTGCGGTCTCCTTCTATAGGCCATGGTCAGGGACACACGGCCGAGAGGGGGTGTCAGTCATGGGAGAGCCAAGGCTATTCTTCGGATGAAAGGCAGAGACGGCAGCAGATGGAGAGAAATGCGCTTGCTTGTACAGAGGCTTTCCTTTCGAGATTACTCGTTCTTTCGTTTGTGTTTGTTTAGGCCCCGTTCGCATGGCATGCATGTTGTTGCTGCTTCAATCGAATTTCCCAAACCATTACTATGTCCATATCATCGTCCTCCTTCCGACCACCACCCACTCCTTCCCACTCTCTTCACCACCACCGTACATATATGTGCAATACCATACCACTTCTGGATGTCTGCGCGCGTTTCTTGAATAAAGTAGGGAGTAGCATGGTAGGCAGTGTACTTAGCCTCGGATTCAGAGGAATTGCCTGATGCTGCACAAGATAAGACAACACAACACCACCACCCGCTGCTGCTGCTGTACTCCTCGTGGCGATATGTGCTACTACTGCTGTAATAGTGCTGTGTAGCATCGTGTCCCCGATGCCGTTTGGGGTTTGGGGTTGGGGCCCCCCCGGTGTTGGGGGAGAGACAGGTCTTTTGGGGGGGGGGGGTGCCTGGTAGACATGAAACAACAACCATTAGTTGACAGTCAAGCTCTCGCCAAAAAAAAACGAGTATTATGAGAGACAGACACTGTTAGAGCGACTTTATCGTCGCCAAACTCTCGCGGAGAAAAAAAAAATACATGGTGCATGACAGCCACTGCTCTGTGAGGCTGAAACACACCTTGTTATTTTTGTTTTTTCCTTTGCTGGCTGCCTGCCACCTCTGCTGCCTCTTTGGTGCGGTGCCTACCCTACACTAATGCGCTGGTGCATACTGCACTGCTGTAGTACCTGGTACTGGTGTACGTTGTCCTTCGATTTTT